GAATCCGAGCTGTCACATTGACCTTTTAAAACCTGTACTTGTATAAAATAGTGAGTAATTAAAAACTTTTATAACATATAAATGACTAATTTACATAAAAGACATTTTCATTATTATAAAACCAATCAGAGCATGTATATTTCACTTATTTATTTACATATAACTATTCGAAACATTTATAAAACTGTTCATAGCTTAAACAATAGATTCTTTTGAAAACATGCCAACTAGAACTTTATATACTAAAATACATATTATTCATATCTTTTCTGATCTGACCTTTAGTAAGGAGAACTGGCATGTCTTGCTCCACATTGCTCTTTACTCTTCTCCAAACCTACGTGTAAATCACTTACACGCTAAGTCAAAGACTTAGTGATGCATATAAACATATAAGGTAAACGGTAACTAATAATTATACCTAAACAATTACTACTATCATTTCATACCACTCATACTTTTACATGTAACAAATATATGCATACATATATGTCATTATCATTCATATCTCTTATCTCATGTTCCTATGATCTCTTATGTCCATATCATATAACATATATCATAACCAATTGCACATATACATATCATGTCATGTAAACCATATATATATACTATCATAAAACACGTACACCCAAGCAACTATATTATCATCTTCATTTCTTTCTTATTTTATCACTATCATTGATTCCTTTCATCATATGGTCTTATAAGTTACCATTTGTACAATCAATATCACACATGAAATTCCACAAGGAAACAAACATATTATCATATCACGTTATTAATATTATCTATTTAATAGCCCATGATACACATGTGAGAACTAACGATATACGAGTACATAGAGGTTGTGCACTAATGCTGTCACCACAGCTCATATAATTGCACCGAAGTGCCACATATAATTGCACCGGAGTGCCGTGTAGAATTGCACCGTAGTGCCATATAATAATGTCCATAAGGACCATATATCATTCCTTAAGAATCATATACATATACTAGGGATCAAGTATGTGTCTCACCAGACTAGGGATCAAGTATGTGTCTCACCAGACTTCACACATGTTCCAAAGAATACATATATGTCCCGAAGGACCACATATCATTCCTTAAGAATCATATACATATTCCAAGGATCAAGTATGTGTCTCACCAGACTTCACACATATTCCAAAGAATACATATATGTCCCGAATGACCACATAGACCCTCGACTCTTGGCATGCCAACTATACCCCTAACTCTCATGACACATAACATGGGCATTATCTTTTATATCCTTTTACATATTCATGTAACCATATCATATATTCATATAAGCTCATGGTTTCATTCACATATACATGTAATCACGTAGTTCATGTCAATTCTCATATGAGTTCATATTCATATAAGCATAGGATTCACCCTCATGTATCACATATACTTTCTCTTTCATATGGCTCATAACATTTCTCATGTGTTCATATGACATGTAAATCATTGTCATCTTATCATGTTATCACATAAACATATCATCTTACAATACATACAAAACACATCAATACATATATTCACATATACCTATCATTTCATTATCCTTATTATTATTCTTATCATCGCCATCAATACATGTGCATCGATACACCTTCAAATGATTTCTGGATTTTAACCTTGATGCATCGATGCACTATGAATGTGCATCGATGCACTCTGCCCAGAACCTCTTTTTGAACCCGAAAATTCATTCTTTTTGGATTAAATCCTTCCTATTTCAACCCCTTTCATATTCCTAACTTTCATATACATACTTAAACTCATTAATATTCATTTATCTCATCTTTAACCTCAAAATTCCATCTTTCATATGGAAATCAATAATCATACCCAATTTTCCATGTTATCCAAACTTAATTTTAACACTTCTAACTTCTTATTCTTATAGATGACAAGTCAAATTCATCTTCCAAATTCATTTAAACCTTCTTATTCAAAATTTCACTTAAAATCCCATTTTCTTTAATCTCCTATAACCTCTTCATCTTTGAGTTTTCACTTATCTTTAGACTTCTTTAAGCTTTCTTACTTTCCAAAGAATCAAAACCAACTTAGAATTCACATAATAATCAACTAATAAAAATTCTCACCTTTGCTCTTGGCTTCCACGCGTGAAGAAGAAAGGAGAAGAAGAAAACTCTGGAAACTCATTTCCCTCATTTCCCAAGTGTAAAATATATATCCCCACTATCACATTTTTTTTAATTTCTTAAATGATTAAATGACCATTTTACCCTTTAGTTCCTTTAATAATTACTAACAACTTTTAGGAAATACTTCCAAATAAATCACTGAACTAATCCATTATTCTACTTTAGTCACCAAATTCTGAAACTTTACAATTTGGTCACTAACTCATAGTTTGGGATGTTACAATTTTACTTCTTGGTCATCTAGAATTACAACAGGTATATCATCTATATTTTGATTAATTTAGTATCGATGATTAATTTAGTCTCGATAATTCTTGAATTTTAAAATTTTAGTCCTGGACTAATAATATATAGACATAAATGATAAAACTAAAGAACATCAATACAGTCTATAATTTTTACATAATACATGAACAAATAACAGAATTCAAAGTTATTAAACGTAATTATTAATGTTCGAATTAAGATTAAAATTATCGGGTTAATAATGATCGAATAAAAATATATCCACCAAAATAATCCAACATTTTTACTATATGCTGGCAATGGAGCATGAGTAGCAGTGACGACACGGCTCAGTAGTACAACCAAAATATTTTAATTACTAATGATTTTTAAATGCATAAACATTTCAAGTTAATGATTTTTAATGCATAAACATATGCAAGTATTGTTTTAAGAGACAAAATTATTCTGATTGCATTATATAGAAAGGTCCAAGCGTGTTATTCCTCTAGTGTGAATTTATTATGATGTCGATTTATATTGAACAATTAAAAAGGAAATTATAACTTCTGTTTAGGTTCTACTTTCCTCTATAGTATTAGCAAATAAAGTGAACTTAAATTATTATGTGAAATTAAATTATGCGTGCTTATGAGTGAAATTAAAGTATTCTTGTTTAGATTTGATATTTTCTTGCATATTTTGTTATACACTTTCATTGGTTTGAATTATCTCTGTAGCTACTAATTGAGTTGAGCAACTCCAATTTATGTTTTAAATTATTATGGACTATATCTGATAGTTTAATGCTTATGTTTAGGTTATAAATGTATCTATAATATTACCAATTAACATTTTAAATTGAAACTCCATAAATACAAAATGGATAAGAGTTGGATGGATTTCTCAAGGGTAAGCGTCGAATATCAAAATGGAGTCGAAAACTTTCTAAATTTAGCTTTTGTGAATGCAAGCCAAGAGAATATGATTCTTTGCCCTTGTAAGAATTGTGTGAACATTAATTGTAACATTCGTGAAGTTGTGTACGAGCATCTAGTTATTTTTGGATTTGTTCGGGGGTATAGAAAATGGATCTTTCATGGAGAGTTTGTATCAAATAGATCTGCTTCCACGAGTTATTCGACTTGTCCTGCTCCTTCTCACCATCCAACTTCCAGAGAAGATGACATGGAAGGGATGCTACGAGAAGTTAAATGGGAGAGAAGTTAGTGATGAAGTTAAATGGCTTTCTCAAGGTCCGAATAGAATAGTTAAAAGATATAATGCCTTCCTCATTAATGGGTTCAGGTTCTACACGAAATCTCGTGAACGATTAAGGAGGACACAAAATTGTGGAGTCATAGTTACTTCGTCAACTACAAGTTATGCTACTGTAAGGGACAATAATCCGCATGAGGGAGAGGTCGATTATTATGGAAATCTTACGGACATTATTGAGTTAGATTATTATGGAAAACGAAAGGTTGTGTTGTTTCGGTGTGACTGGGTTGATGTAAACAGATGTATAAAAAGAGATAAATTTGGGTTTACAATGGTGAATTTCTCTCGATTAATTCATACGGGTCAACGTTTGATGGATGAACCATATGTATTTTCTTCTCAAGTGAATCAAGTATTTTATTGTCACGATCCAATGGATGACGGTTGGTATGTTGTGCTTCGAAATACTCTCAGAGACTTGATAGACATCGGGGATGGAAGTAGAGATGACATTGAAACAAGATCAGAATGTTTACGTCTACTACCACAAAACTTAGATGAAACTATCACTAATACAACACAATTTCAATGGGTTCGGGAGGACGTTGATGAATATATTTACGATAACTGACATTACATAAGACTTTTGTACGATTTTATATCTTCATTTATTTATTTATAATGTTATAACATTTAACATGTTGTCCTTCAATATATTCATTACTTAATTTATTTTTTTATTACTCATGTTTGTTTATTATAGATAGCATGCCGAGGAGAAAAATAACTGATTTGCGAGTTGTTCGAGCTTCTGAAGATCATGAAGAAAGAAATAACGAGGAATCGAATGCACCTGACTCTTCCGAAGTTCCTGAAACTATTGAAGAAGAAGTAGAAATTCAAAGTAATCTTCGAAACATTATTTACTACTTTGTTCATTTTCAAAACTGTCATTTAATAATTTATTATATAGTTGAAAATACTGGAACGCGCAAGACTCGAGGACGTACAACTTTGAAGGAATTATACCAACTTCCTCCTGGGCATCGTGTCAAAGTTTCAAGAAATGATGTTTGTCAACCTATTGGCCCAGAATCACGTCTTCTAGTAGGTTACTTAGGCATAGTTGGACGTAATGTGAATCTATTACCCATCAACTACGAGTCATGGCGCGAAATGCCTAATAATAATAAAAATCAAGCGGTGGATTTTGTTAAGGTAATAATGTCATTATAATAGATACTCTATACTAATTCAATACTAATTTATACTTACGGTGCACACTTATTTGTTGTATAGGAGAAATTTTCTTTAGAGGTCTCTGACGATTATGTGAAGCAAGCGTTAGGAAAGATATGGAGGGACCACAAGAGCTCCTTAAAGAAGAAATACTTCAAGAATGATTTCAGCCTTGAAGAGAAGTTGCAAACAATCCCACCAGGAATGTTCAGGTACTAATGGGAAAATGCAGTCAGATTTTGGAGTTCAAAAAAAGGACAGGTATGATGTATTTTTCAGAAATAATTGTAACGAATTTTAAATCATCATTAAAAGTGATTGTTTGACATTGTAGGACCGAGAGCATGTTGGTGTTGCTAGCAGGCAACAACAAAAGTTTACACACACGGCTGGATCAAAGAGCTCTGCTTGTATAGCTCATGAGGAGGTATTATAGATTATTGAAATAGTTTTTTGTATTCCATGTACATACTAACTCATAGTAATTATATTATGGTACATTGTAGGAAAATACATCCGGTTCTAAAGTTGGTCGAATACAACTCTTTGACATGACACATACGAAGAAGGATGGCACTCCTATGACTGCTGACGCTGTAGAAATTATGGTACGTTTATTGGGTAGATGTTTTAAATTTACCTGATTTTATTTATATTTGTACCATGACATTTTTTATTTTAATTAATTATTCACTTTATTATTAAGAAAAATTGAGGGATAAAAAAGCGGAGCATCATGCTACCGCTTCGAGTCAAGGTATTGTTAATGATGATGACATTGAAAACCAAGCTATTAATGACGTTTTGGGTCTTGAAAGATATGGTCGGGTGCGCTGTCAAGGATCATTCGTTACTCCCACCAAATATTTTGGATCCAGCTCATCACAGTACATGTCATCACAGTCTCGATCTTCCCACCACGAAGTTAGTCGTTTAAAAGAAAAGTTGGTTGAGATGGATCAACAAATGGCTAACTTGAAAGCAGAATATGAAGCAAGGGAAGCAGAGAGAGCAGCAGCAGAAGCAGAGACAGCACAGAGAGAAGCATCGACAGCACAGAGAGAAGCAGCGGTAGCACAGAGAGAAGCAGCATATCAGCAGAGATGTGAAGAATTTGAAAAACGACTCAATGATATGATGCTAATGATACAAAAAACGCAACCTCAGAATCCACCATCATAGTCTCATTTATGTTATAAGCATTCTGTTAATGTTACTGAACCTTGTTTAACTGAACTTATATTACGTTAATGAAAACTTTTATTTATTATATTGGATTTAATGATGTTTGTTATGGATATAGAGTTTGATGTTATTGTTGTTTTGTTTGCTGGATAATGGAACAGGTTGAAAAAACATATTTGGGGTAATCAAGCATTATTTTTAGAATTGTAAAATTTTGTGTTATTTAGCGGCGTTTGTTAAAAAACGCCGCAATATACCATACATTTAGCGGCGTTTGTATACTATAAACGCCGTGATATACCAAACTTTAGCGGCGTTTGTATGAAAAATGCCGCTAAAGCTCAACACCTATTGCGACATTTTCAATAAAAACACCGCTAATTCTCAACCATTATTGCATCGTTTTCGATACAAACGTCGCTTAATCTGAAAACCTAATGCGACATTTATGGGAGAAACGCTGCTAAACATCATAACCTATTGCGACATTTGTTGAAAAAATGCCGTAAAATATCAACACCTACTGCGGTGTTTGTAAGTTAAACGCCGCTAAATATCAACACCTACTGCAGCGTTTGTAGGGAAAACGCCGCTAAACATCAAAACCTATTACGACATTTTTGTGAAAAACGCCGCTAAATAACAACACCTATTGCGGCGTTTATTGAAACGCCGCTATATGTTGTTACCTATTGGGCGTTTTTTGTTTAAAAACGCCGCTAACTTTAGCGGCGCTATTTTCAGCGGCGCTTTTTGCGGCGTTTTGACAAACGCCGCATGTGTTTTTAGCTGTAATTAAAAACGCCGCTATATGTAAAAAAACGCTGCAAAATACCTATTTTGTTGTAGTGCATATTCATGGTTTTTAACCAATTAAATGAATACACATCGTATTTATTTTCCACATCATATTCTCTTAAAAGTTAAAATTTCCAAATCATCATCTTCTTCTTTATCCCATCCTCTCCTTTTCCCAATCTTAAAACATCAAATCTCTATGTTTTTCTCTACTCTTTCTTTAATCCACCACTATAATCTAAATTAAAAATCATCATTTCTTCTTTATCTTATCCTTTTATTTCCCAATCTTAAACATTAAATTTCCATATTTTTGTTATATTATTGCTTTGATTCACCATTATAATCCATCTTAAGCATTAATTCTTTTCAATTGTGCCATATAGAAGGAACTCATATATCATATATCATACATCAATCTATAAATTCCCATATGTATTTTTAAATGAGATTTTATTGGTTAAGAAAAAAATATATAAAAATATATAATAATAAAATAATAAATTTGAAAGAAATTTAAAATTTTGTATTGATTTTAAATCTTGATTATAATGGTGAACCAAAGAAAGAGCATAGAAAACATGTAAATTTAATGGGTGAGATTGGGGAAGAAAAGGATGAGATAAAGAAGTGGTAATTTTTAATTTAGTTTATAATTGTGGATTAAGGAATGAGTAGATGGAGATTTGATGTTTTAAGATTGGGGAAGGAGACAATGAGATAAAGAAGAAGAAGACGATTTAGAAATTTTAATTTTTAAGGGATTATGATGTGGAAAATAAATGTGATATGTACTCATTTAATTGATCAAGGATCACGAATGAGGCGGTGAAAATAGTTAATGTAATATCTTATGTATGCCCAATAATCTAAACTGATTTGTTTGTTCTTGAGCATGCCCAATAATACAACATTGGACGACTTCTGTAAAATCTAAACTGATTTGTTTGTCGTAACCATTTTCATTAAAAAAAACTAGATTTTAAATTTAAAAATAATTATGATTTTATTTTAGAAAATATCTTTAATTCGAAATTTAAAGTAACCATCGACCTTTTGGGTTAGGCAGATCGAATACCTAAATATGTATTTTAAAACAATTTTAAGAAAAATCATTTTTAAGAGAAAAATTGGTCCGTGTTTATCAAAGATTCATTTTAAAAGGTTCGAGAGTCGATTACGCATAGGGAAAGGTAAGCACCCTCACAACATCCAAAATTGGTAACTCTAGATTATACGTTGTCTAAGTAGTGAAATTTTACAAATTTAAATTCAAAATTTAAATTACGATCATTTTCATTTCGATGAATTTGAAAATGAGTGAATTTATTTTTTTCAAAATATTTGACTCGATAAAAATGACTTAATCTACTCGATTTTATTTAAAAAGGGTGTTATCTTATTACATGAATTAACTGAAATTGAAATCTAATCATGTTGGACGTAATTTAGTTAACCCATGGCACAAGACAACATTGCCTTTGATAATTTTTTAAAACGAGAAAACGAATGCATGACGTATGAATGCAACAATAATAAACAACCACTACAACATAATAGGTCTATAACAGCGTTTTTTAGTAAAAAAATAAATTTTAAATTTAAAAAAAATTACGGCTTTATTTTGGAAAATGTGAATTTTCGTTTAATTCGAAATTTGGAGTTGTCATCGACCTTTGAGTTAGCTAGGTCAAATACCTAAAATCATCTTTTAAAACAATTTTAAGAACAATCGATTTAAGACAAAAATTGGTTTGCATTTACCAAATATTCATTTTAAAAGGTTCGAGAGTTGATTATGCATGGGGAAAGGTAATAACCCCCACAACACCCAAAATTGGTACATCTCGATTATACGTTGTCTAACTAGTGGAATTTTACAAATTTAAATTCAAAATTTAAATTACAATCATCTTCATTTCGATGAATTTGAAAATGAGTGAACTTATTTTTTTAAATTATTTGACTCGATAAAAATGACTTAATTCACTTATTTAAAAATGGTGTTCTCTTATTTCATGAATTAACTGAAATTGAAATCCAATCATGTTGGACGTAATTTCATTAGCCCACAACACATGAATTTGATAACTTTTGAAAACGAGAAAATGAATGCATGACGTATGAATGCAGCAATAATAAACAACATATACAAAATGGATGAAATATTCACACAAAATATACTAAAATTAAACAATGATAAATAAAATAAATAAAATAAATAAACAATGGTAAATAAAAGAATACATAAAATAAATAAAAAAGAGTATTTACCTTAATCAAAATAATTTCATTATAAAAATTCAAAAAAATATTTATTTAAAATGACTAAGATATATCTAGTTAACTTAACGAGCAATAAATAATATTTTATTCGAATAACCTTCGGAAGGGCATCCCAAGTTTTTGGAGGTCTGCCATAGGTTAGTCGAATAATTAACAAAAAAAAATTTGTATAATTTCATACCATTAACAATAACAATTTTTTAATTAAATAGACATATAATTCAATACTAAAAAAGTCCTTTAAAAAATGCAAGTACAAATAAAAGAAGTACATAAATATATAAGAGCTTAAAAATATTAAATAAGTAAATAAAAAATATATATGCGCATAGTAAAGAATATGTATGTTCAAATCTATTAAATACATATAAATATATACACGCACGTACAAGAAAACACAAAGAATGAGATAGATTTACTATGAACATAATCAATAACCCACATTGTAATATATTATACATATATGAATATATAAATCATGATGTGGACTGTCAAAAGAGTATAATTTGAACTAAAATGCAAATATGTAAACATAGAGGGTCAAAATGCAATAAATTAAAATAAGCTTATGTAATTTAAATATAAATAAATTGGAACAGTATGGCTAAATCACAAACACATAACTAAATATATGGATGAAATTAAAAGAAATATGAAATTCAAAGACAAATTTTATAAGAAATTATAAGGAATTAAAACCAGTCGAGGGACCAAATTGCTTTCATTGCAAAACCTGAAGCATTACAAACATGGCTCTCGCATGACCAAAACGAAATAAAACATAAATTAACAATGGAAATTAGATATTTAATCGAAACATATTAATAGGCAAACATGAACTAAAATATAACGAGAATAAATATAGTGCTCAAAATAAAAAAAAATGAAACTTTCCAATGATGATCGAAACAGACGAAGACAAAAAAGAAAGGACATATCTTGCTAATATTTTGTGCGCTAAAAAGGGTTGCCCTAACCCTTTAAACGACGTCGTTTTGAGTTTTATATAAATACTCCTATAATTTTTTGAACCCTAATCCCATTTTTATTTCCTCAGCCGAAAATGAAAAAGAGAAAGGGAGAAGAAATTCTCCCAACTTCCTATCACCAGGGTAACCGTTCGCCGGTGGCGATTCACGACGACTGGAGGGAGCCAAATTTTCTTTTTAAACTTCTCAACCTGAATCTGAGGTCCTCTTAGCTAAAATCTCAAACCAAACCCTTTAAATCTAGGCTTGTACCTTTCGAAACTTTCAAACTCCGGCGTCACCTCAGCTTCCCAGCGAGCTCCGAACACGGTAAGTCTTCTTTTTTTTTTTGTTTCGAATGTTTTTGTGTTTTGTCTCTCCCTCTCGGTTCACTCTATCTCCCATTTGCTCTCCCTCGTTTTTTTCTGTTTGAATCCTCCACTCCTTTTTTCTTGTTGCATGTTTATATTGATGGTTTTGTTGGTAGAACAGAGAGCTTCCAACATAGGGCATTATTGCCCTAACCCGAGCTTTTAATCATCCTAGATTTCTCACGATTTTTCGTTTGTTTTACAAACTTAGTGGACATTCGGGTTTAGAGCTTTAATCTTAGGGGGCATTTGGTCAGGGTATCTCACATTATCGGGGAATAGAATGTCATTCCCCCGTTTGGTTGGCAAACATTCCCAACCCCCGGTAATAAGTTATTTCCAACAGTGGTATTTTGGGGGTATATTACCGGGAATGTGATTACCCCCTTCCCTTAGGTATTGTTACATTCCCAGCATTTTGGACTAAAATGTCCTTAATTGTTTTTCAAAAATATCCTTCTTCTATCGTTGAATAAAAAAATGCTATGAATGTTAAATTACAAATTTATCCTTAAACTATTTTAGATTTACAAAAAAAGTTCATAATTAGAATTTAATATGAAGTTCAAGGGTTAAAATAAAATTTTGCCCTTTCATTAAACCTATTTATCTTTTTTAATTTTGTAAATATATATATATATATATATATATATATATATATATATATATATATTATGAATTTAAATTTTTTAAAGAAAATATATAAATTAATTATAGTAGAATTCAACTTGTTAAAAAACAAATATATAATAAAGATAATTTGATAAAATATATATTCTAATAATATTTTATTACTTCAACCAAATATTATAATCTTACAATATTCTTGATAAACGAACCAAACATTGTAATCTTACAATATTCTTGTTAAACGAATCAAACACAACAATACAACATTCCCAGTAATCTTATTCCCATCAAAAATCTTACATTCCGTAAACAAACACACCCTTAGTGAGATCCGTATTTCTTACCTTTACAAACTTAATCCAAGAAATTAGAGATTCGGTTCATGAAAATATGTTGGAAGAAACTTTTAATACGAAAAGAACAAAGGTAAAAGAAAACGTGATGTCACCATTTGTACGTCTTTTATTATCATCAATGAAAGTGAAGTCTTGACTAAAAGACAAATAAAGTGTAGAGTTTTTTTTATACTTCTCTTAAACCAGATATATAATATTGGTAATTTGTGTGTGAAGAAAATCTAATCTTGTTCACGAAAAGATGGGACAAATTATATGTCTTTGTTACCAAAAATATAAATACGATAACGTTCTCTGTAGATTCCTAGTTCCTACATCATCTCGGTTCCATTTTGCTCAATCTCTCCTTGCTCACAAAGCAACGATGGCGATTTCCCCTGGGGTTTATTTTCTCTGTCTGCTGAACCTCTTCTCATTTGGTAAATGTATTCCTTTTACTTGCTTTAAAACATTTTTCTTATCTGTTTTATTCCTTGTTTGTTTAATAAAAATTTCATCTTTTCCGTTTTGGAATCATTTTCAAGCTTTTGCTTCGAATAAAGAAATAACATTGTCTCACTTTTGTTTATAACATCGATTTCAGGGGCGATATTTTCTTCGGCTACCCTTTTTACACTCGAAAATGGATGTAATTTCACTGTTTGGCCTGGTTCTCTGGCCGGAAAAGGCCCTTCCATTGGTGGTGGTGGTTTTGCATTGGCGCCTGGTTCATCATCTCAATTCCAGGCTCCAGCCGGTTGGTCCGGTCTCTTTTGGGGTCGAACCGGCTGCAAATTCGACAACGCTGGCAAATGTGTAACCGGCAACTGCGGTGGCGGGTTAAAGTGTAGCGGCGGTGGTGAGCCACCCGTTTCCCTGGTAGAGTTCACCCTTAATGGAAGTGATAATAAGGATTTTTACAACGTTAGCCCGGTGGATGGTTACAACCTTGGGTTAGCAGTGAAGGCCGTTGGTGGCACAGGGACTTGCCAATACGCAGGTTGTGTCAAGGATCTCAATATAGATTGCCCCGCAGAGTTACAGATGTTAGATTCGGGTTCTGTCATCTCTTGTAAAAGTGCCTGTGCCGCCTTCAACAAGCAGGAATATTGCTGCACCGGCGACCATGCTACACCTCAGTCATGCTCACCAACCAAGTACTCGCAGCTGTTCAAGAATGCATGCCCCACGGCTTACAGTTATCCTTGCGATAATGCCACCAGTACTATGACCTGTATGGGGTCGGATTACGCGATCACATTTTGTCCCACTGGGTCATCAACATGACATTAACATATGGTTTGGATGGAGTTTAACTGCTTGTTTCGTTATTGTTTAAACTTTGATTGGATTGAAAGGTTTTTGGAGTTATAAATATTCACATCAATAGTTTGCTTCATTTCTCAGAAATAGATTTAGTTAAGAAATTGTGTGAGATATAAAGATTGTGGTTGGTTTGTTTGGTGAGAAAGTCCCGTGATATGTATGCCTTTCTCACCACTGTCTAAAGGTGTTCAAGAAACAATAAATAAGACTTGCCATAAGCTTTGCGTGACCCACGGTTGCTACACTGTGCATGCTTTGCTGTCGTACTACCCACGATGAATATTTGTTTATCTTTGTGTTTTACGTGACTGTTTATCTTTTATTGTTATAACTTTTTGCTCTACTTGGATTTTAATGCTGCCTACAACATTAACTATTAAGCTTTATTATTTTGACTTTACGTAAATCCTTAGTACTCAATCAAATTCATGTGTAAATTTCATAGATTATTAAAAAATAAACCAAGTTATTAGCATAACGATTACTGCTAAACTTATTTTCCCTTTTTTTATTACATTACAAAACAAGTACAGCCTAATTATTGCCAGGAGAAATACTACCTAAATTTCCTAGAGTAATGGGATCATTAACCATTTGATAAGAGAAAAGTGCAGCACCAGTAGAAAATTTATGAGAGAATTCCTTCCCTTTCAAGGCCTTCGGCCATACATCAACAGAGCTTCCTCTTTTCTTTTTTTAGCAAATACATTTTCGGTTTTCTCTACACGTGGCTTTCATTTTGAGAAGCCTAATCATGCCCAGATTTTCAAATTGATTTTGGGCCCAAGCAAAAACAAACTCCACACTTGGGACACAATGTGCCAACTTTTCTATACTAGAACTCTAGAAAAATTACAAGCCAAAATTAGAAGGGGAGAAGAGGGGATTAGGGTTAAAAAAAGAGAGGGTTATGACTGCCTATATCCTATAGATATTCCTTTCAAAGATGTATTGCTTGAAAATAAACTAGTCCGCAACTGATTAAACCACGAAAGCTTCATCTTACCGGAGCCGGTGCATTGACCCTCCCCTTCCTCTTCACTACTAAATAGAGTTTGGTCTGAGCAGTCTAATGATGCTCCACATGCTAAATTATATGACTGGCATGCTGAATGGCATACCCGCAGTCTGTTGTCCCCATTGTTGTCACATTTTTGGATCGATATCTGGTAACAAACAGAGAAAGCATTTTAGAGTTCAACTCCTGTAATTGGCTACCAATGGGAGATAATAGGTGCCGAGACCAAAAACAATGCTTGGAAATAAAAGAGCAAGGATGGGTAAAATTTACCCAGCAGGCTAGTTGCTTGGCAGCTGCATCACAGTAGCGGCTCCCAAAGAGATTATAAAATAACTTTCGAGCACCACCAGGGAACAGTCGGTGGTAATTGGGCATTACAACAACTTCTTCGAGCTGCTGTAAGATACTTGCCTCACTGGGTGCACAGTGTTGCCCGGACAACTCCCTCTCCAACACATTTTTGCATACTGAAAGACTTGAGAGGAGAGAAAAGCTATTTTGGCATGTGTAGCCCGCATAATCAGAGCAGCGAAACTCACAAACTCCATTGTCACAGACCCCACCATGAAGGCTGCATTGTTCATCGCAGACAGCTGCATATAATTCCAAGTAAATCAGTACGTAACAATAATCAAAATGATAGAATAATACTATCCAGCAACAGTAAGAATATTTTCCAAATATAATGAATAATTACTATACCTGTTGAGCAATCAATACCGGTATGACCATTTTCACATTCACAAACCCCATTTGATAGGCACTTTCCACGCCCATCGCAATTGTTAGGGCAAGATCCTTGAATTTATAAGACGGGAAAAAGGAAAATAGCATCAGTTTTTTTTCTTTTTCTTTTTAAAGATTAGATCAGGAGAGACTTCATATACGAAATATTGTCTTACACAAAGCTAAATAATGGAATAAAGAAGGATCCTTGAACTCACTTTTACTACAATCATGACCATGAAATCCAAGAAAGCAATGACATTTTCCATTGACACAGTCACCATTAAGATTACAAGAATTGGCACATTGCCCTGACACAGAAACAGTGCGAGTTCTACAGAGTTCGTGGTAAGAAGGACAAATCAGTTCTCCTGACAATAAAATGGAAACAGAATTAGTAACACGTCTAGATAGGATCATATTGAATAAAAAGTCAGCAGATGAAAATTACCATTAAATCCAGGGAACTGAACTGGTCCACCAGCTTCTGGACAGACTTTCCAAATACCATCCACAGCAACCTAGAAAGAACAATTATTAACAATGTTAAAGATAAACTTCAATGAGCCAATGCTTCTTCGCTAGATTTCACATTTACTGTTATAAATAGAAAAGTTTTTTTTCATTCAGCCAGGCCATTATTGAAAAAGATTTATTGTAATTTAGGCATTACAGCAAATCGACAATTGCCAAAGAACTATACGTTGAAAAGATAAGATGACGGCCCACAATGATCATAACTCTCAAGCTACAAGGCTGTTTTTATCAAAACTTGGCTTTACAAACACCATTCCATACCTCTAAAGATTTATTTACACATCTGTGCTGATAACAACCATTTCCTTGGGTCACAGAACCCCGTACAAAACCAGTACGTACTAAGGAAGAAGTCATGCACCTATTCAACACAAAAGAATATTCATCAGCCATTTCCTCATAAGGTCAAACTGTGTCTCAGGTAAGAAGAAAAGTTTAAACTGTGTTCCAGTGAAAATTTTAAGGTCAAAACTCACCTGGAGTTACTCCCTCTCACTTCACCTAACATTCTGTCTGGGGCTCTTGCACTGTTAGTATCTGTACAGGATCCATCAGAGTAAGCCACAAAGTATGTGCAATAATCAGCCAGCGAAGACTGACCACCTGCAAGGATCAATAAAGCAGCTCACAGTAAAAATTGCTTTCCCTAGCATACTTAAAAGTTGCAAGAAGTACACGAGTATCACTTTTAAGAAGTACATTTAGATTAAAACCAAAACTGAAAATAGCTTTGCTTTATGTGCAACCTATTCGGAATTTCATGTCAAATGGATCGATTCTTCATCCTTTAGAAATAGTTACTAGGGTGTATGGGTCAAAAATAGATCAGCTGGTCTCAAAAAACAAAATTAGACAGATAAAAAGAACCAAATGAGAAAATTACCCTTGTTAGCCTGAGGAAAATACTGAGCCCATTTAGGTAGGTCTCCACTATAAGTTACAATAGGGCAGTAACCCTCTTCTTCCCTGTTATATGTACAACCCGAAAAATTGGTAGTGTTGCAACGATAAGCCCCCTTCCAGAGATTGCAAGGAGAAGTAACAAAATCGGTTCCTTGGTTGCGACCCCAATCAAGACGATCTGCCATGCTATAGTTAGCTTGATACCATCCACTATCCTCCAACAAAGCCAAAGTCATTTTTGAAACTACTGATCTTGTATCCACAGATCCCGTCATTATCTCATTCATCAAAAGCCTCTTTTCCCAATGAGACCCTGCAGTCAAGTCATCACTCAAACATTAAGGACCAAACTTTTATACTGTTGTATCTTTTATTAAGAATCATATTACATATTTTACAGTAATTCTTAGATAGTTTACTTGAGTTAAAAATCTACAATCAATACCTCAACAGAAAGGGGAGAGACAAAAATAACAGGGACAGAAGTGAATACCTGATGTGCCACGTCCTCCCCCATCTTCTAGCTCTAAGCCCGTAAAATTTTCTGAAAATGCCTGTCAATTGAACTATTAACCATTTGTTTGATTTTCTTATTTTGTTTTTCAGCAATCTAAAGTCACAAAATTCAACACAACAGAGTTTACAATACCCCATAATGATGTCGTGAATGCATGACAACACGTGGAAGCACCACACGAGTTACCATCCTCCCAAGCTTTTCATCCATGATTAGTTCAGTAACCTGCAAAATGCACACAGAGATGACCGTGTTATAGTGAGGTTCTAAATTGGGTCCATGAAATACTAGGATGGTAAAAAAAATTAATATTGGTAGCAAGACATCAGCAACAAAGTCTCAAAAGCATTCGTAAAAAATACAAAGTACTAAAAGTTCAACTGAACTCTGATTTCAAAGGCAACAAACAATTTTTTTACGGTTTGAGCTTTGACTTTACAAAGTTTATCACGATAATGTATCAAGGGCATATTAAATATAAATGTCATTCAATTACCTTACCACGCCTCCTTTTTCTCTCATCTCTAAAGTGAGCAAAAGCATGCGGGTCAAAGCCAAGAACATGCATAACCTGGATTAAAATAAAGAAGGTGTTTAGGACATGAAATTTTCTTATATACTTATGAAAATAACATGAAAGTTAATCGTCAAACCTCGTGGATAAGAGTAGCTGAAAGTAAAGTCTCTGCTTCAGCTCTTAAATGCCGAGGAGCAACGTTCACATGTCCTACAAAAACAAGTTCCCCATTGCTTCTGATTTTAGATTTCTACTACACACATCAGCCACATGTACCAATTATGGAAAAACAAGAAATTACCAGCAATAGCACGGCCCCATTGGTCCCGTTCACATGCTACTGCCCATGCCAAAGTGTTGCCAGTGGTAGGTCTTGTAGTCACAAGCAGGACCAAGTCTGCATCAACTACACCCTCTGCAAGAAATTTAAAAGATAAACACATACAAAAGAACGAACCAAACAGGAAACTACTTAGTTCAAATACAAAAGAATGAACCTAAAATGAAAATACTGCTTAGAGGCCATCCTCAAGATGAATATATTGTCTAAACAAAGTAATGGAACTGCAATGGGATACCTTCAATATATTCGCGTGGAAGTTGCACACCTCCATCTTGTCCGCATGCAGAATATCCACTCAATCTCAAATTCCCTTTCACAGGCTCTACGGCCAAGCCTCTCTCAAACCAGTCAGCTGTCTGCCCTAGAGCCTTCATCATATTTCTTTCAAAAGTTAGCAAGTGATTAATCATACATAGCTCAAGCAAAAGCAAGTATATTTTTAAAATATATAAAGTGAAACCTTGTGAAGGCGATGACGTTTGTCCTCCCCAAATATATCATCAAAGGTACAATTATACCAACAGTCACCATAAATTGGAGGAACACCATGAGGATTGCAGGAGGGTGATCCAGGAGAACTCACGGGAGGCTCCCCAAGCTGGTAAAATAAAAGCCAAAGCAACAGAAAATCACAAAAACAAAGACCAAGTACCCAACATTAGATTCACAATCATGACCAGGCAAACAATGCTACAGGGTTTACAAGGAAACAGAACCACAACCTTCACAATGTCACCAACTTTTTGACAATCTCTATCCTGGGAGTGACCAACTGCATCATAATTCAAATATATTCTTATAGGTTTCTTAGCATCATTTGTATGCCCAAGCAATTCAGGAATCTCAAGCAGCAACCTTCCTTTTTGATGAAGATGATTTGAGATATGGGAATGATCATAAACTTGAGGGGTAACCGAATAAATGTTACGACCTTGTCGCGTCCTCTGCTCAATTATCTGGTCATGAATACATGAGTGTGAAACAATATTTTCACTACTTCCTCTTTTTAGGACTCCCCATTGCGGATGTTGCTCCCTAAATTTTGCGGTAGAAGCTCCAAACCATAAGAGTATCAATAAAATCTGCACTAGAAACCAATAAAGTTTGAGTTTTAAAGAGATGAGCACATTCAAGAAACCCCAAAAGCAGAAAACAAAGAATCTATGCAACAACGGATCTAATAAAACAAAATTAGAAATGGCTAATACAGTCACAAAGATTAAATTTTTGCAAATCATGAGCTCCAATTTAGCTACTTGATGCAGAGTTGACCCCAAAGTTTTCAACTTCAAATAATTTAAAAGTAAAAAAATAAAATAAAAAATCGGGGGAATGGCAAAAGCAGCAAGTTTATGAGTCCCAGCACCTTTTCGAATTTTCAATAGTTCCTTAGTGAACAGCTTCCAGAAAAGGAAATGAACCACGAAAAAAGGAAAGTAGAAAGTAATTCATAAGTAGAATTAACTACGTGTACATCAAACTACTATGTAGTACCAAATGAAACATCTTTATACGAGGAAACAATCAAGAAAATTTTCTTTACATTCATACATAACACCAGTTTAGCAATATTCTTTTTTACAGTTTAATAGTTTTTATTTAAAAGAAATAAAAGTGAAATCCAACATTTACCTTGAATATAATGGCGGCAAAGCGAAGCTTGAAACCAAATCTGTTTATAGCTCTTGATCCAAAACGGATTCTGAGCTCCATTAAGATCCAAAAACTAAATAGTAGCTCTTCTAATTACATACAATTTGTCTCGATTCTTCGGTAGACTTAACAATCAATAAAACTAAAATTTTGACCCACATTTCAACGCCAGATTCCTAATTTCACGCAGCTTCTCTAAATAGGAAGAAACCCAAACAAACAAAAGAAGAAAGAAGGGGATATTTCGGATTAATATCTTCCAAATTGTTTCTAAACACAAATGGGTTGTTCTCAAGCAGTAAATTAACACTGCCCAAAAACACAAAATTTATAAATTTCGTGAATTTTATCTGTTCTATTCTGATGTGCAGAGAGATGAAAAACAGTGACATTGAATCAAACAAAAGAAAGAAAGAAAAAAAGGGAGATGGGAGGAGAGGAAATAAAATATATTTAAAGTATTAACAGATGGTTGGGGTGGGTAGAGACTGTACATTTTTTTAATTAAATAGTTTATCATTTTCTTGTCCTTTATTTATTTTTCAATATTTCAAAAATAAAATAAAGTTAAAATTTGACAATTGTAGGTAGGCGCCTGGTCAAGGGTAAATTTAGGGTTTTTTGAATGGTTACAATAAAATTTTAAATTATTAAAATATAAAATTTTATGGACGGACTAATTTAAACTTTTTTGGTTTTTTAAGGGGAACTTTAGAGTAATTGTTTTATTTTTGGGTTAAGATATTTGCTGTGTGTTGGCTAAGACAATTTTGGATGGTTGTCCTTGTTTTCGTATGTAATAGGGTAAGGAGGAGGAAAGATATTAGGATGCTCCCAATATTAGATTGAGAGCAGCTTCCGTATGAGACCTTCGAATTATGAAATGTGGATTTTTTTTAAAAATTACTATTTAAAAGTGTAGTTTAAAATTTAACTGTTTGAGATTGTTGGTGAAAATTTAAAAAAATAAATTGTCCATTTTGAATATTATATTATAAATTAAAAATATAACATTTAAATTATATTTACACTTTATGTCAAAAAATTATATTTACACTTATTAATATTATGAAATATATCAACTTAAACTATAATAAAAATATAGAAAATATTTTAAGATAACTCATTAATAATATTTTTATATACAAAATATTTTATTAAAAAATATAATATCAATATGTTTTAACATTTAAGATTTAAAGTAATATTTTAATTATTTCAATTTAATCACAACCACTCATTTAAAAATTAAAATAAAATATACTTATCCTTTTAACCATTCAAAAATAGAAATAAAACATATATATATATTATAAAATATACTCACCTGGAGTTACTCCCTCTCACTTCACCTAACATTCTGTCTGGGGCTCTTGCACTGTTAGTATCTGTACAGGATCCATCAGAGTAAGCCACAAAGTATGTGCAATAATCAGCCAGCGAAGACTGACCACCTGCAAAGATCAATAAAGAAGCTCACAGTAAAAATTGCATTCCCTGCATACTTAAAAGTTGCAAGAAGTACATGAGTATCACTTTTAAGTACATTTAGATATAAACCAAAACTGAAAATAACTTTGCTTTATTTGCAACCTATTTGGAATTTCACATGTCAAATGGATTGACTCTTCATCCTTCACAAATAGTTATTAGGGTGTATGGGTCAAAAATAGATCAGCTGGTTTCAAAAAAAAAATTAGACAGATAAAAAGAACCAAAAGAGAAAAATACCCTTGTTAGCCTGAGGAAAATACTGAGCCCATTTAGGTAGTTCTCCACTATAAGTTACAATAGGGCAGTAACCCTCTGCTTCCCTGTTATATGTACAACCCGAAAAATTGGTAGTGTTGCAACGATAAGCCCCCTTCCAGAGATTGCAAGGAGAAGTAACAAAATCGGTTCCTTGGTTGCGACCCCAATCAAGACTATCTGCCATGCTATAGTTAGATTGATACCATCCACTATCTTCCAACAAATTGCGACCCCAATCAAGACTATCTGCCATGCTATAGTTAGATTGATACCATCCACTATCTTCCAACAAAGCCAAAGTCATTTTTGAAACTACTGATCTTGTATCCACAGATCCCGTCATTATCTCAGTCGTCAAAAGCCTCTTTTCCCAATGAGACCCTGCAGTCAAGTCATCACTCAAACATTAAGGACCAAACTTTTATACTGTTGTATCTTTTATGAAGAATCATATCACATATTTTACACTAATTCTTAGATAGTTTACTTGAGTTAAAAATCTACAATCAATACCTCAACAGAAAGGGGAGAGACTAAAATAACAGGGACAGAAGTGAATACCTGATGTGCCACGTCCTCCCCCCATCTTCTAGCTCTAAGCCCGTAAACTTTTCTGAAAATGCCTGTCAATTGAACTATTAACCATTTGTTTTATTTTCTTATTTTGTTTTTCAGCAATCTAAAGTCACAAAATTCAACAAAACAGAGTTTACAATACCCCATAATGATGTCGTGAGTGCATGACAACACCTGGAAGCACAACACGAGTTACCATCCTCCCAAGCTTTTCATCCATGATTTGTTCAGTAACCTGCAAAATGCACACAGAGATGATTGTATTATAGTGAGGTTCTAAATTGTGTCAATGAAATACTAGGATGGTAAAAAAAAAATTAATATCGGTAGCAAGACATCAGCAACAAAGTCTCAAAAGCATTTGTAAAAAATACAAAGTACTAAAAGTTCAACTGAACTCCGATTTCAAAGGCAACAAACAATTTTTGAGAGTTTGAGCTTTGACTTTACAAAGTTTATCACGATAGTGTATCAAGGGCATATTAAATATAAATGTCATTCAATTACCTTACTACGCCTCCTTTTTCTCTCATCTCTAAAGTGAGCAAAAGCATGCGGGTCAAAGCCAAGAACATGCTTAACCTGGATTAAAATAAAGAAGGTGTTTAGGACATGAAATTTTCTTCTATACTTATGAAAATAACATGAAAGTAAAATCGTCAAACCTCGTGGATAAGAGTAGCTGAAAGTAAAGTCTCTGCTTCAGCTGTTAAATGCCGAGGAGCAATGTTCACATGTCCTACAAAAACAAGTTCCCCATTGGTTCTGATTTTAGATTTCTACTGCACACAGCAGCCACATGTTCCACTTATGGAAAAACAAGAAATTACCAGCAATTGCACGGCCCCATTGGTCACGTTCACATGCTACTGCCCATGCCAAAGTGTTGCCAGTGGTAGGTCTTGTAGTCACAAGCAGGACCAAGTCTGCATCAACTACACCCTCTGCAAGAAATTTAAAAGATAAACACATACAAAAGAACGAACCAAACAGGAAACCACTTAGTTCAAATACAAAAGAATGACCCTAAAAGGAAAATACTGTTTAGAGGCCATGCTCAAGATGAATATAGGGTCTAAACAAAGTAATGGAACTGCAATGAGATACCTTCAATATATTTGCGTGGAAGTTGCACACCTCCATCTTGTCCGCATGCAGAATATCCACTCAATCTCAAATTCCCTTTCACAGGCTCTATGGCCAAGGCTCTCTCAAACCAGTCAGCTGTCTGCCCTAGAGCCTTCATTATATTTCTTTCAAAAGTTAGCAAGTGATTAATCATACATAGATCAAGAAAAGCAAGTATATTTTTAAAATATATAAAGTGAAACCTTGCGAAGGCGATGACGTTTGTCCTCCCCAAATATATCATCAAAGGTACAATTATACCAACAGTCACCATAAATTGGAGGAACACCATGAGGATTGCAGGAGGGTGATCCAGGAGGAGAACTCACATGAGGCTCCCCAAGCTGGTAAAATAAAAGCCAAAGCAACAGAAAATCACAAAAACAAAGACCAAGTACCCAACATTAGATTCACAATCATGACCAGGCAAACAATACTACAGGGTTTACAAGGAAACAGAACCACCACCTTCACAATGTCACCAACTTTTTGACAATCTCTATCCTGGGAGTGGCCAACTGCATCATAATTCAAATATATTCTTATAGGTTTCTTAGCATCATTTGTATGCCCAAGCAATTCAGGAATCTCAAGCAGCGACCTTCCTTTGTGATGAAGATGATTTGAGATATGGGAATGATCATAAACTTGAGGGGTAACCGAATAAATGTTACGACCTGGTCGCGTCCTCTGCTCAATTATCTGGTCATGAATACATGAGTGCGAAACAATATTTTCACTACTTCCTCTTTCTAGGACTCCCCATTGCGGATGTTGCTCCCTAAATTTGGCGGTAGAAGCTCCAAACCATAAGGGTATCAATAAAATCTGCACTAGAAACCAATAAAGTTTGAGTTTTAAAGAGGAGCACAATCAAGAAACCCCAAAAGCAGAAAACAAATAATCTATGCAACAACGGATCTAATAAAACAAAATTAGGAATGGCTAATACAGTCGCAAAGATTAAATTTTTGCAAAGCATGAGCTCCAATTTAGCTACTTGATGCAGAGTTGACCCCAAAATTTTCAACTTCAAATAATTCAAAAGTAAAAAAAAAAAAAAAATTGGGGGAATGGCAAAAGCAGCAAGTTTATGAGTCCCAGCACCTTTTAAAATTTTCAATAGTTCCTTAGTGAACAGCTTCCAGAAAAGGAAAGGAACCACGAAAAACGGAAAGTAATTCATAAGTAAAATTAACTACGTATACATCAAACTACTATGAAGTACCAAAGGAAACATCTTTATACAAGGAAACAATCAAGAAAGTTTTCTTTACATTCATACATAACACCAGTTTTGCAATATTCTTTTTTACAGTTTAATAGTTTTTATTTAAAAGAAATAAAAGTGAAATCCAACATTTACCTTGAATATAATGGCGGCAAAGCGAAGCTTGAAACCAAATATGTTTATAGCTCTTGATCCAAAACGGATTCTGAGCTCCATTAAGATCCAAAAACTAAATACTAGCTCTTCTAATTACATACAATTTGTCTCGATTCTTCAGTAGACTTAACAATCAATAAAACTAATTTTTTGACCCACATTTCAACGCCAGAATCCTAATTTCACGCAGCTTCTCTAAATAGGAAGAAACCCAAACAAACAAAAGAAGAAAGAAGGGGATATTTCGGATTAATATCTTCCAAATTGTTTCTAAACACAAATGGGTTGTTCTCAAGCAGTAAATTAACACTGCCCAAAAACACAAAATTTATAAATTTCGTGAATTTTATCTGTTCTATTCTGATGTGCAGAGAGATGAAAAACAGTGACATTGAATCAAACAAAAGAAAGAAAGAAAAAAAGGGAGATGGGAGGAGAGGAAATAAAATATATTTAAAGTATTAACAGATGGTTGGGGTTGGTAGAGACTGTACATTTTTTTAATTAAATAGTTTATCATTTTCTTGTCCTTTATTTATTTTTCAATATTTCAAAAATAAAATAAAGTTAAAATTTGACAATTGTAGGTAGGCGCCTGGTCAAGGGTAAATTTAGGGTTTTTTGAATGGTTACAATAAAATTTTAAATTATTAAAATATAAAATTTTATGGACGGACTAATTTAAACTTTTTTGGTTTTTTAAGGGGGACTTTAGAGTAATTGTTTTATTTTTGGGTTAAGATATTTGCTGTGTGTTGGCTAAGACAATTTTGGATGATTGTCCTACGTTTTCATATGTAATAGGGTAAGGAGGAGGAAAGATAGTAGGTTGCCCCCAATATTAGATTGAGAGCAGCTTTCGTATGAGACCTTCGAATTATGAAATGTGGATTTTTTTTAAAAATTACTATTTAAAAGTGTAGTTTAAAATTTAACTGTTTGAGATTGTTGGTGAAAATTTAAAAAAAATAAATTGTCCATTTTAAATATTATATTATAAATTAAAAATATAACATTTAAATTATATTTACACTTTATGTCAAAAAATTATATTTACACTTATTAATATTATGAAATATATCAACTTAAACTATAATAAAAATATAGAAAATATTTTAAGATAACTCATTAATAATATTTTTATATACAAAATATTTTATTAAAAAATATAATATCAATATGTTTTAACATTTAAGATTTAAAGTAATATTTTAATTATTTCAATTTAATCACAACCACTCATTTAAAAATTAAAATAAAATATACTTATCCTTTTAACCATTCAAAAATAGAAATAAAACATATATATATTATAAATAAGTTTAAAATAAATTAGTATTATATATGAAATATATCAATTTAAATTATTATAAAATTTTAATTATAATAAAAATATATTTTATAATAACTCACTATTAATGTTTTAATATATAAATCATAAATTTTATTTATATTTAAAATAAATTATTAAGTAACAAATTATTTTCAAGGGGTTAATATTAAATTATTGAAATAAAATGTAAATATATAATTAATAAAGAAAATTGAATTTTAAATTTATTTTTTAAGGTAAATGAGTGGAGTGCATGTATTGTTAATGGTAAAAATATAAATTTTCTTCTAAATGTAAAGTTGAAATTGAAAAAACTAGAAATCCTAGTTTTTGCGGTTTATTTGAAATAATTGTTTCAACCGTTTTTTTTTTAATTTTATCTGTTTGACATTGACTTTACTGTCAAAACAAATTCTTTAACTAAAAGTAATTTTAGATAATATTACGAAACGCATCCTTAATAGATTAATTATAAATTATATGTTTAAATTTAAATATATTGATTATAATGAGATCATTTATTGTACTGTGAGAATAATATTAGGAGTACAGTATAATAAAAACTGACTTGGTCGACCTAATTTGTTGATCTAATCTAAAATTCAAATATTTGATCAGTTTTTTTATTTTTTTGATAATTTAAATTGAATATCCGAGAGAAATTATACATAACCAGGTCCGATACAAGCATTTGATTTCTAATTTTAAATTATTCAAAAATTAGATAAAAATTGAAGTTTAAATAATCTTTAACCCAATAAGAATATTTAATTTGAACCTCTTGAACATCACATGGAGCCGTTACTACTATGAAAGCAGGACTATTTCTCCATCCACAAAGCTCATAACCTCAACTCCTGTCCACTGGAAGGCTCCCGAGCTAGGTTGGATCTGTATGAATGTTGATGGTGCCGTCTCTCTTACCACGGGGATTGGATCTATTGGAGGAGTGTTCCGAGACCACGAAGGCTCTGGATTCTTGGATTCAACAAGTCGATTGGAATAAGCCCTCTTCAAACCGAACTGTGGGCGATCTCCATAGGACTCCAGCTTGTTTGGGATAACGGCTTCGAACTTTTACATGTGCAATGTGATTCTCTCGAGACAACAAAACTTCTTGACAATCCTACTGCGATATCGAGCTCTATTCCCCTAGTACGAGCAATTGACAAGATCCGGAGAAAGGCTTGGGCTATTTTCATCGCATGGTTTAAATAAGCGTGAGGGAAAAAATACTTCAAGAAACCCATAACTATAGTACATTCTTCATTTTCTTTAATCTGTTTTGTTAAGGTTTGATTAGGTTCCAAATGTCCCATATTAATATTTTTCCCCTTTTTATAAGGGATATTGAAACCTATATATTTCATGGTTTTACCTATTGAAAATGAATGTTTAGTGCTGTGCGGCATTTCCCACGAAATTGAAGAAAAGGTTGCAGACAATAAGCGTATTTCCTCCATGAAAGAGGGGCACCTCTCACTGAAGGTCTAGTGACTAGTGGCCTCCAGGCTCCAATAGGATTGAAAAGGTTCAGTGCGTCTGAAATCTCCACCGAAGATGCATACTACCTCCAGGGCAATCATTTTTTCCCTTAATTTAAAGAACAAAATTCTAACGCACCGGAGAACGGTGGCATCCAAAGGGACTATTCCTCCAAGCCTGAAATTCAAAAACTGATTTTGCTTCAACGGTTACTTAAAATTTGTTGTGTATAAAATAGGCTTTAATGTACCATTACCTCCTAAACTATATCATTTGTACCGAGTTACCTTCTAAAGTATTTTTCGAAATGTTTTGTCCTATGAAGTTTAAATTGTTATCTCATTTGTCTCAATATGTTAATTCCGATAAAAAATACGTGGGTAAGTTGTATATTTAATCACTAAACTTAAGTTTTTTTTTCAAGATTTAAATTTATGAATAATGGCTCGTTCATATTTTAATTTCTTAAATATTTATGATATTTTAATTTAACATTTAATTTTTTTATTAAATTTTTAAGTACAAATAACTAAATATGTTGTTTATTATTTACGCTATAATATTATTTATTATTATACACTAAATTTATGTGTTGAGTAAAAAATATGTGATATAAATGAATTCTTATATATTGTAATTTTTAAAAATAAATCTAATCGAATTTGGTGATTAAATAGAAATCAAAACTTAAGTTTAATGATGCTTTCGAAAACAAAAATAGTTAAGTAACCAAAATAGAACTATATAAATAGTTGAGTGACTAAATATATAATTTATCCACACATTTTTAACGAATTTAACAAATTGGAGCAAATGAGTTAACATTTTAAACCTTAGGGCCAACTCAGTATAACGACATAGTTTAGGAGGTAATAATGCATTTATGCCTATAAAATAATTGTAAGTGGTTTAAAAAATATAGAAGTAACAATAAATATAAGAAAAAAAAATTAAAGGATGGAATGTGTTAGGAGGTTTTTTATATTTCATATTTTATATTTTATATTTTTAAAATTTAAAATTTAATTATTATATTTTTTTGTAAAATCAAGTTTCTTTATTATTTTTATTTGAAGTTTTCGGTCATCCCTTTAATTTTTAACTATATAAAAAAGATCTCTTAGTCCTATATGTTTTTAATTTTTATCAATTTAACTCAGTATCGATATAGCTTAGGAGGTAATAATGCATTTATGCCTATAAAATAAGTCTAAGTGGTTTAAAAAAATATAGAAGTAACAATAAATATTTTATATTTTATATTTTATATTTTTAAAATTTAAAATTTTATTATTATATTTTTGTAAAATCAAGTTTCTTTATTATGTTTATTTGAAGTGTTCGGTCATCCCTTTAATTTTTATTTAATTTTACTGTTAACTATATAAAAAAGATCTCTTAGTCCTATATGCTTTTAATTTTTATCAATTTAACTCTCAAATTTTAAAAAAATATTATAAATTGAATAATATAACTTTTTAACATATACCTTTACAAATGTTTAAGGATCAATTTAATAAAAATAAAAAACATAAATAGTAAAAAAGTTAAGTTTCTTTTACATAACTAATAAATCAATAATGATAGAATTAAACAAGAGTTAACAAAAGGGTGCTCAATTCACAAAAAAAAGGCATAATAACTTATCTTTAAATTTTAAAATAATATATTGACCTTTGGATTGTTTAAACCAAAAGAAACCTACACAACGCCGTACGCTTAAAACTTTGGAGTCCTGGTTACGAAAGGGTACTTCGATGGTCCAATTATTAGTGCTAACGCCAGCTAGCCCTACAAATCAATCTACAGTAAGATACTCGGTTTTTAATTAATAATTGATATTCGATCTATTAACCAACTAATCCAGATCGAGTATTGCAGAGACGAGGACGATCCACCCAATCCAGTTTGCTCTATTCGTAAACATCAGGATTCGAACCTCTAACCTTGCTTAATAGATCTAGTCTTTAATCCCATTAGACCAACAAGTTATTGGTAGATTATTTATTAATTTCATTATATATTAAGAGAAGGAAGTCATTGGTAGGACTTCCAAGTTATAAAACTCACTTTAGGTGGAACTTAAAATATAAGTTGGTCAAAATGTAAACTAGTTTTTATAAATGGTTGAAATCTACACGTAAAAAATTTGAATGTCACGTGTATGTTACACGATGGTATTTTATTATATTTGGAAAATTGACTATTCAACATTTATCTCTTAAATTACTTACCATTGGCATCCTGATTAACTGTTCAAGCAAATCATACTTATAAAATAAAAGCATTGAAAATATATACTACTAATCTTGTACAACTTGGTATGCCTAAAACCATAATCAGCTCTTAATGCGTACTCATACAATGTATTTGTGG